ATTAACTGCTTAAATTTCGGTAATGAACATATACAGCATGTTTTAAAAGTCGGAAACTTCGTTATTAACGAACTAGAATGAGTTCATTTTCGAAGTGACAAAAAATTATTGTATTTATCACAGGATCACTATATCTATATATATCTATATGTATGTATGTATATATATATATATATATATATATATATATAAGGACATATCATTCAGCAACACTTTTCTTCTACCTACACAAGTGCCACTATCAATCTGATAAGAAAAGAAGCACATCCTACGCGTGACGTTGGTTATATATCGAAATCCAGACATTGAATGTCACACCAAAACTGCCATTCCGACAGTCGACCATATTTACCTGTCTCCTGCCCAAACAAAACGATGACCAGTATCCTGCTCTTCCTGCTGAGTTGCCTGGTGGCCGTCATCAACACCAATCCTCCATACATCCACACAACCATGCCCGGCGGATGCGTACATCGTGGCAAATTCTACTTGGTCGGCGAGCACTTCAGTCCAACACCATGTGAGAAGTGTTTCTGCGGAACTCTCGGTCCAGCTGCCTGCTTTGTCATTGACTGCGCAGTTGCTATGTGTGTTGATGCCGTGAAACAACCAGACCAGTGCTGCCCAGCCTGTCCAAATGGTTCGATAACTTCACCATATCAATAACTTTCGCATACAGGAGTGTTTACCAATGACGTAAGCAGCAAAATGAGTAATGGTAGAAGCATAATTTAAAAAAGCATACAAACTGAGAGTTAAGCAATGATATAAGTAGTGCTGTCCAACTTCAAATGGCAAGATGTAAGCAATGATATAGGCAAAGTTATAAGCAATGATGTAAGCAACCATTTGAGCGGAGATGTCAGCAGCCATGTAAACGTTCATATAAGCACCCATGTAAGCGGTGATATTAGTAAAGATGTAGAACGATAAATGTAAGCAGAGATGAAAACCAAGATCTAAACTATCATGTGTCAGCCATGTTAGCAGAGATGTCAGTAAATGTTACAATGTTGAATCCCAAGGTGACTTCAAAACCAAACGTTAACCAAGAAGTCTGTAAAAAAATGTGAAACCTATGTGAAACCAACGTACAACAACGAGATATGATGTACAATTGTATTGAAAGGTTAACTAGGTTAACATATTAATACAGATCACTACAAGGACCGCCTCCGTGGTGTAGTGGTTAGAGCGTCCGCCTGGAGAGCGGAAGGTCGCGGGTTCGATCCCCGACCGCGTCATACCAAAAAGACGTTAAAATATGGTACTTGTTGGTCCCTGCCTGGCGCTCGATATTAATGGGTACAACAAGGACTGGTCGGCTCGGAGTTAGTATAATGTGTCAGAGTGGGGTATTCATGCTTCACTGCGGCATGGTATCTCAGTGCGCTAGCACTATACAACCAGCTTCAGTTTGGGCTAGTACAAGCAGCCGCACATACACATACACATGCATGCACGTCACGACACGTATGAGCGAAATATTCTCAAGCACGACGTAAAACCAAATTTCACCTCACCTCACAGATCACTACAAAGGTTTCATAGTGGTAGTACAAAACAGAGGCAGTGTAATGTCGAAAGCAGCGATTATAGCAGCAGCGACAGAGATGATAACACTCACCTCACTGCAACAATGGTCCAGTATTTTTATAAGAAACAGGTCTAAGCCTTGTCTGTCATACAGACCCTGAAACAAATATATCCAAGAAAGTCCATGCAAGTCTAGAATATGTGGCAAGTCTAGATTTCTTCAGTTTCTGAAAATTAAGAATGTCTCAGGGCTCCTTTTCATTACTTCTTATTTTTTTTATTATGAACTGTTTTATCCGTAAATCATGTTCATTTCAGAGACTAGTTGTTAGTCTAGACTAGGCTGAGCATCCAGAGAAAAAATTATCTCCACACAGTTGCTGGTCTTCTTGTAGCTTGAGTTGTAATGTGAGATGTGTAACAGTTCAATAGTGTAAGAATGTAAGGTGGGTATTATCCTTACATTAAATGAATCTGGCCCTTCGTGAGATGAATGTTACCCCCCCTCTACAGTCTGGCCCTTCAGGCAGGTGAAGTGTCACCTCCACTGGTCTTGTATAATTAAGTGAATCAACATACCTAGTCTCCCTTGCCCCATAACCAATGGGTTATCGCTAAGGAATATTTTGGGGGATAGATGTGGTGCAACAAAGCACACGGTTAATTACATCACTATATCATGGGCTTCGGCATCCTCGAATTAAAGGCAAATTGTACATCAGTGTGAATAAAAATACATTCGTAGCGATCTTTTAAGGTGTGTATGAGTTATTGATGAGTTATTTATTTTGAGTCACTATTTATGTAACCGACCATGAGTGATCTTGTGGTCGGGTGGCTGACTTCGCTGTTTTATGACTTGTTGCTCCTGCTGTCAATAATATCAGGTTGGATCCAGTTTGTTATGACACCCGTCATGTATAACTGGAATATCGCTGAGTGCTGCGTTTAAAAAAATAAAATTTATATCAAGTGATTGGCGTGACGAGCGAACCACTAGGAGACCATACACATGTTCTGGTATGCCTTACAGTGGGGATCTGTCAGGCCAAAGGTAGAGCTTTGGCATGCCAAACCGTGGTGATCTCTCAAAAGTGAAGGCCTGGTAGGCATACACTTCTGCATTACTCTCCATGTCCATACTCAAGAAAAGGATGCAAGGTTTCTGTTTTTAGAACACGTTCGTCAAACCTCTTTCGTAGTTACACCCATCACTCGGTCACTCACTTTGGATGCTTGGACAAAGAGGCACACTCGTTTTTAACGCACCAATCAAATTAACATTACAAAACTTGCACCCGAATCATGTGTTGGCAAGTGACACAGAAACAACAAGCTCGTGAAAGATGTTGCTAGATATCGAAATGTCACGTCAAGTTTACATTATCGTGGAAAGAAGGAATGTAATCAGGGATATACACTGTGGTGATCCTTTGAAGCAAGCAGGGAACGAGTAACTAAAGTATACTGATTGGACAACTAACGTACCAAAGTGACTACTACAGGAATCGGGTCAGAATGCCAACTTGAATACATGCAAACAGGAACCATTGTTCAAAATTGAAACAGTTTCTGCACACAGCTTGAAGAAAAGCAACATAGCCCTTTCCATATTCAAAAGAAATCTATTCTGGAAGCAGTAGTAGATGTTCATTTTCAGCAGGCGTGCATCTTGTTCATCTGTGGATATACATTCTTAACTATTCTCACTCTACTAAACAGAAAGAAGCAGTGCCTACAACCAAGAGATGTGTGACAATGTGAAAAACACGAAACTAGCGACCAATTGTGTTCATGATAAACATCACACAGGGATTTGCTGTCAACCGGTCAACCGACTTGTTTTTCGATTTCAGGAAGAATTATTCGTATCGCACACATATTGTAGACTGGTGTATTTTATGAAACCGTGCAGTAGAGACTCGATTTACGTCGTTAGTGCATTTAAAGATCTGTCACGTGTATAAAGTGTCACAATTAGTGAAAAACTGTTCTTTAAATCTTCATTTTGTTTTTCATTATATTCCGCGAACTGATTCTCATGCTTAGGTTGGAGATGAGAAACATAAAATCATTATGGCCTTACAGATGTTTCCATATCACTCTGCATCGGGTATCTAAAGGCCAGTGGCCCCGTTTCCACGCCTGTGTATATTCAATTTTGCACCCACCCATATTAAGATGTTTGTCTAAGAGTAAGCGTATACATAGCACAAGGCAGTGAAGTTCATGAGCTTATTCAGATACAGAACAACCTCTTTTTCATGATCTGAATATGTGGTAGAATTTGACGATTGGAATATAATGACACATGTCAACCATATCAGTGGGCCTGACCACCCGATCGATTGATTTAATTATTTTATTCACAAATGTGAAAGGGACCCGCTCCCTAATATTTACATACATACAATTTCAATTATATACATCTTAGGAGAGAATAGAGAGAAGGGATAAGAAAGTTAAAGGGAGAAGAGAGGAAGGGACACGACTTATGTGATCACTCAAAACGTTTTGATTGATGAATAAAAATTTGCACACACTTGAAAACGTATTCATTTTGTTGAATAGTCATATCAGGACTTCCAAGTAACATTAATGACAATGTGATTGGAGAGTCACGTTTTACAATATTTATTAAATTTAACATTAATATGTACCACCCGATACCTTTAATCGCCTCTCAAAATAAGCATTGGATCAATCCTCTTGTAATAGTTTCTAGTAACAACATATTACCATAGGTAGATACTCAAACAATGTCTCAGTGATATTGATATTGATTGTTTTTAGCACATATTTTTTAATCTTTATTGAAAGGTGTTGGGTACATCTATTTATTCGTATACACGATCTATACAAATCTAGCAAAAACAGAAAATGGAGAATATAACATATATCAGAGATATATAAAGATGCAATTGTACGAATGAAAAACAGTTAGCTGTAAATTTAGATTTGATAGGTTTCGTGGAATATTTCGGTTTTCCAAAGTTCTTTAATGTGACATTTTCCAGGTGCCCCAAGATATCCAAAGTGAGTGAGAGGTATGGTTGTACGCCGTTTTAGTAATTTTGTATAAATATCACGGGTACTGTTGTCACACTGGAGGCTCGATATGTTGAATTTGTAAACCTCAAACTGACCTAAGGGTATCACATTCATGTGCTTTTCAGTTTGGTGAGGAGACTCATCTGAGATTTTCATGTAACTCAAAGCGTACAACATAGTATAACACATCCCTGTACAGTTGTCACACTGGAGGAAAGATATTTAAAGCGCCACAATTTGCTTGAGGATTTGGGTCCCTCCATGGTCATAATATTTTGATGGTGCTTTGGTGCCGACCTTTCGTTTCCCAAAGAACACTTTAATCTGCCAGTGTACTCGCGTTCCTGGGTTTGACCTTGTGGTGAGCAAATCAGCTCCCCACACTTGCCTTATCTGACCTGCTGACCCTGCTGGTGGCCGGGTTGTTTGGCATGAGTCTGAGCATGGAGATCTTTATTGTTGTGTTATTCCTTCTGTTTTCTCCGTCAGCAGCATCAACGAAGAGAGGATACGGCGTCAACAACCACGTCCTCCTCTGTAACGACTCATACACATTAACAGAGTCATCATGGTGGTAAGATAACAGCGTTTTATGTAGATCCGCAATCATGATCCTAATTTGTTGAAAGGCTTAAGCCTTGTGGCGTTGTACGCAGGAATTTACACACATTCAATTTTTTCAGTTTGACGTTATATCGTCTGATAAATACCTTGATAATTCATTCATCCAGAACAAAAATATATGTTTTTATGTACAACTTATAATTTCCGATTCTCTTATAGGTGTTGCTCCGCGCAACGCAGCGGCAATAGCACCGAGGACAAGTCAAACAATTATAATCATCATACTTATAGTCAATAATCATCAAATGTTGAATCCGTCGACGAAAATGCACATCCATATTTCTGTGGTTTAATAATTGATTCCGTTTAAGTTTTCCTACCACGTAATATTCGACTGACTGGGAGTTTCTACTCATGAGATGGTCTAGTCACCACTTTGGCGTGATTATTTCTGAGTCACTGAGTTCTAGGGCTCCTTTTACAAACACTTCGCGGTTATTCGGAAGTCTGTGATAAAGAATGGGAGTTACAATTGTCATATCTCTAAGATTGCTTTATTACTAATACCGCTAATTTTCTTTTTGGGCTCAATGGAAACTCTTTGGCGGATATTCCGAGTTTTTCCCTTTCGTTGACGTTATATAATAAAACCATGCATTATTCCAAATATCCATGAAGTGTTGGTGGTGACATCATTTATAGGCTTCTGGCCGTGCACTTAGGGAGTTCTACGCAGCTCATATTCGTTAAAAGCGAACGGATTGACCACTAAACTACTCCACCAGTGCGAATTCCGTTTGTGCAAGTTAAAATTTCACTCATTCTCTTACAAGCTTGTTCAGCTTGACCTGATGAAGTTAATACTAATGAATTGCATGACCGTGTCACAGTTGGTTGGGTCTATTATTGTGAAGGGTGCACATTTGTCAGTTGATTGTCAACATGTCCGAACAGCCGAGACAAGGTCGCCGTTTCACATCTCAGTGTCGAGAATCGTCAGCAATATCCTAACTTTCTTTAAAAATGAAGCTACAAACATATTGCAGTTGAACATGAAATAGAAAAAGTGATAACTGAACTGGGTGTAGAGAGTGACAGCGAGAGTGAATCGGATTGTGAAAGTAACTGACGTCTGTACGTTGTAAAGTTAGTAAACCAAACTAGATAGCATATGACTGTATAAACAACTCAATTAAAACATGAAATGATTGTTTGTTTTTCAGAAGTGTTGTTTTCCGGGACAGGTTCTGTTACGAATCTATGTATGCATGTTTTGCACGAACGCAACATTAATAACATTCGTTGCTCCCCTATTTAATAAAGTTAACTCGACCTGCCGTTTGTGCATCCCGGGACATGCATATGTAGAGTAGCTCAGGTCAAGCTGAACGAGCTGTACCTCTACTACGCTTATATACCCTACGCTTATATACATACATACATACATACATACATACATACATACATACATACATACATACATACATACATACATACATACATACATACACACATACACACATACACACATACATACACACATATATACATACATACATTTGTATATATAGCGCCGATATCCAGCTCAGCTCAGCTGCTCAAAGGCGCTTTGTTTTTCCCTCGTTCACTGGATGTCAATCTCAACGGCACATCGCATTGTCAATCTCAACTCCTTGGGGAGCTTATATATTGTCAGTACGCTTCACATTTACTTCATTCCGTTGTATTTCAGGTACAACTGGCGGACAAACTACATCGACTTCATCCACGACGGCTGCAGCCCGAGGGGAGAGTTTGTTCCTATGGTTTGGAGTTTCCAGATAAACTACACACAGCATGTTTCCCAATCGTCTCACTACATCCTTGGTTATAACGAACCAAATGAACGCGACCAATCAAATATTACTCCTCAAACTGCTGCTTCTCATTGGCCAGAAATCGAAAGACTCGCACAAGGCAAGCTGCTCGTAAGCCCCGCCCCTGCTCGTTGTAATGGCTGGCATCTCTGCTTCAAGGAGCCCACTGATTGGCTGGACGAGTTTTTCCAGGCTTGCAGTGGCTGCCGGGTTGACTTCTTGGCTGCGCACACATACAACTGTGACCCGGATAATGACATGCGCTATCTGGAGTCTCTGTACAACCGGTACGGTAAACAAATATGGCTGACGGAATTCTCATGTCCCAAGACAATGTCTGTACAAAAAGAACTGGACTATATGAAACAGATCGTACCTCGACTCGAAGCGGCACCCTTTATATACCGGTATGCGTGGTACATCACACGGCAGCCGGACACTGACTATCTCACATCTGCAGTCAACCTGCTTAAACCAAACGTATCCGAGCTGACGTATCTTGGACATGTGTACAACTCTCTGCCTGCTGTATAGAGATGATATCCCGTTAATGCCTTGATTTGATACGGAGATTAAATTCCTGTAATTCCTAGATTTAGTCCAGGAGTTATGACCCTATAATGCCTAGAATTAGTTCAGAGGTTATGATATTATAATGCCTAGATTTAGTTCTGAGGTTATGATCCTAAAATGCCTAGATTTAGCTCAAGGGTTATAATCTTATAATGCCTTGATTTAGTTCAGATGCTTTGATCTTATAATGCCTTGATTTAGTTCAGATGCTTTGATCTTATAATGCATATGCCTTGGTTTAGTTCAGATGTTATGATCTTATAATGCCTAGATTTAGTTCAGATGTTATGATCTTATAATGCCTTGATTTAGTTCAGTTTTAATGATCTTATAATGCCTTGATTTAGTTCAGATGTTATGATCTTATAATGCCTTGATTTAGCCTTTGTCTTATAATGCCTTGATTTAGTTCACATGTTATGATCTGAACATGCCTTGATTTTGTTAAGAGATTATGACCCTATCATGGCTTGATTTAGTGCAGAGTTTAAGAGCCTATAATGCCTAGGTTTAGTTCGGAGGTAATTACCCTATAATGCCTACATTTGGTATCTAGAGAATTTATGGCCCTATAATCTACAACATATAGATTTGTTCAGGTGATGCATTTAACGTTATTGGTTAAATATGGCTGGCAATAAACGGATAATAAAACATACAATATATCTATTTCTAATAGATGTAGAAAATTAAAACTTTCCGTGAACCTTAATAAGCCATCCCTTGATGTGTCATATAGTTCCTGGTGGTCTGGTGGAATGATGTCTTCATTTTCATTTCCAGGAAAGAATTGATAATAATTTTGTGTGTGTGTGTGTGTGTGTGTGAGAGTGTGTGTGAGAGAGAGAGACAGAGAGAGAGAGTAGAGTGTGTGTGTGTGTGTGTGTGTGAGTGTGAGTGTGTGTGTGTGTGTGTGTGTGTGTGTGTGTGTGGGATACTTGCAGGACGTAGATTGCTTGGTTAAGTTGTTGTTTAACGCCGCACGACGCTGCTATATGGCGGCGGTCTGTACATAATCGAGTCCGGATCAGAAACTCCAGTGATGAACGGCATCAGCATCGATCCACGCAATTGGGATACGATGACATGTGTCCAGCAAGTCAGCGGGTCTGACGGTGGGGGCGGTGTTCACCCATTTTGTGTTTAAAATTATGCTTAGAAATTATAGGAAGGGAGGGGTGGGGTGGTGTGAATTGATTTTGTACATGACATGCAGGGGGTCCCGTATTTTGTACATAAATGTTAGGGGTTCATTCACATTGTACATGCTTCTCCATATAAATCATCTACACATGTAGGCGTTAATTAGCCAATCACGATGACGCATAGGCCATTTTATTTTTCTGAGTGACTGAGTGACATTTAACCGGTTTCGTGTGAATGAATGAAACTGAGCCATGTCCATGATTATGAATATTCACTGCTGTGCAAAATATAGTACACATTTTAGACATTTTTTCGAAAATATAACGTTTCATTCACTGGAACGCTGAAAATGATCCAATACATCAAGAACAAAACAGCAATGATACCAATATGATACCTATATCATTTCTAGCCGCCATCAACAATGATCGTCACGATATGGCTGAAAAATTGTCGATGTGACGCTATATATTAACTCACTCACTCATTCACTCAAACATGGTGTGCACTTTCTTTTGCCCGGTAGTGTAGTATCCACAGGAAGCCACAAATGGCACAGTTAATATACTAGAACGGGAACTTCAAATTTAATGTGACTATGGAATAGATATTGCATGAATGTGAAAAAAAGAACAATTTTCATATGAAATACGTTTTAATATAAACACGATATTCATTATGGTTATGAAATATATATGATATATGTATGAATATTAAGATGGATTAAGGTGAATACGGCACACAGACGACAACTACCTTATTTCTATAAATATACTCAATTCATATGAAATACATTTGAATATGAACATGATTATGAAATATGTATGATAATGTATGGATAAGATATACCATGGATATGATACACATACTACAACGACAACCGTTATTATCATGAAAATACTTACTTGTACATATGTTTCCCAGCTGTGCCGCGTAAGAAAATACCGCATTTTGTTGAAAACACGGCCCCGTCAGTGACAAGTATGGGGTGAGAATGTGTAATACTCTACCCACAAGTCCTGTGACAGAAGGCGCCCTCGGCGCTCCACCCCCACCGCCTAGCACCCGGGGGTGACTGCGCGGTCGCTGTGGGAGTGTCACGCCTCAGACCGGGGTTTGTGACGAGGTCACGGGGTGCTGGTTAGAATGCATGGAAGCATTCTAATGGCGAAGTAAGCGTTGCTTTCTGTAGCTGATCATTTTCGAAGTAGGCGACATGGTGCTTGAGTATCACCCCGACAAGATGGCTACCAGGAGGAACCCTGACAACAATCTCTCTCGGTTTGGGATAGCAATACTGACGATGGTGAAATGTCTACCATCTTATATACCTGAGAGGAACACCACCGTCAGCAGTTACCCACGTGATGATTGCTCAATCACGACTGTCAATGCAGCAGTTTTATTGCACAACCTGTGCGTTTACACTGGCAACAAGGGGAGCTTACTCCAGCTGGACTGTTTCTGCGGTTAACCGCTTTATCAATGCATGTAGGTCGATCAGCTGTTCAATTGTCTCATCAGTGGGACTTTCCTGAGAAAACGTTTCGAGAAAACTTTCAGTTTTTTTGTAAAATGATTATGGCTTTATTTAAGAAATCACCTCAATACCTTAATTTAATATGTAACTTGGTCGATGTACATTGCTTCTATCATGCCGTTTGTATATAACTTTTATGTTGTGTGAATGTAAATATTGTTTGTGTACCTCTTTTGCTGCAGTTTGCAGCTTGCATTGGGTGAATAAGTTTCAGTTCAGCCAGACAATAAGGGAAGCTTGTTGTTGCTAGACTGTTTCTGTTTTGGTGGTGGTTATATTGATGCAGAGAATACACTACACTGAGACGATGTACAGAACATCCTATGATGGTGATGTAGAAAATATCCAGATACGGTAATGTGCGGAACATAACGTTTTGGTGACGCATAGAACGTCCAATTGTGGTCCAGTGATAATGTTAGATTTGTCTGTGGTGGTTTTATCTTGAAGCAAATGCATGTTTCAGACACGTTGTCGTGTTTGCCGTCACCAGTCTTCGTGATGTTGAAGACTTTATTAAGTTGCGTTTTTGCAACATTTAATAATGTGTAAAAATATTGCTAACTAAAGCTAACAAATCAAATAGTAATGACACCAGGTGTTCAGATGTTCCTGTCACCATACTTAGTTTAGGGTCGTTGTTTCAAAGTGACTTGGCCACTCTTTTAGACATACAGTTTTGTGTTACACCCACACTTATAGCTATCGTGGAGATGAGCATGGATGCTCTCATAACCATGTCATAACGGTAAGATCATTCTTTCAAGGACTAGTTCTGTATCGTTTAGCTATCAGGATCCGCTGTAATGCGTTCGAATCTCAGTTTCTCTATGACCTTTGGTCTCCTGGGTCCCGATTCACAAAGCGTCCGTAGCAACGCTATTCGTAAGCCTATAGTAAAGTATAGAGTTACAACCGGTCGCAATGTTTCGAACGCTTTGTGCATCAGGACCTTGAACTATACAACATACAAGTCTAAATATAACACACCACTGTCCCTGACTGAATCGACAAATACAATGTATAACGCAGTGTGAACCACTGCTTCATAGGTGAGGTGAGGTGAAATTGGGTTTATCGTCGTGCTTGAGAATATTTCGCTCATATGACGACGTGTGCATGCGTGTGTATGTATATGTGCGGCTGCTTGTACTAGCCCAGACTGAAGCTGGTTTTCTAGTGCTAGCCCACTGAGATACCATGCCGCAGTGAAGCATGAATACCCCATTCAGACACAGTATACTGACTCCGAGCCGACCAGTCCTTGTTGTACCCATTAATGCCGAGCGCCAGGCAGGGACCAACAAGTACCATATTTTAACGTCTTTTGGTATGACGCGGTCGGGGATCGAACCCGCGATCTTCCGCTCTCCGGGCGGACGCTCTAACCACTACACCACGGAGGCGGTCCACTGCTTCATTACAATACAGACCACTGTATGTTACTTGGGAAGAAATGTGTAAATAGAAGCGACAAACGGTGTGATGGAGGAAGAGGATACATAGTGTGTGGATTAGGAGCATAAAGCGCAGGAGCGGTGTTTAGTTGTAAGATAAAAGTGAATAATTAATTCGGGAAACATACATGCGTTTGTATGACAAAATTCGAACACTTGTTATTTCTACGTCATATGCCAACATATAATTCGGGTATAAATTTTGTATCATTAATTTCTATATCATATATGCGTTTGTATGACAAAAGTCTAACACTTGTTATTTCTGTGTCATATGCCAACATATAATTCGGGTGTAAATGTTGTATCATTAATTACTATATCATATATGCGTTTGTATGACAAAAGGTTAACACTTGTTATTTCTGCGTCATATGCCAACATATAATTCGGGTGTAAATTTTGTATCATTAATTACTATATCATATATGCGTTTGTATGACAAAAGTCGAACACTTGTTATTTCTGCGCCATATGCCAACATATAATTCGGGTATAGAATTTGTATCATTAATTACTATATCCCGGGCGTCCCTGCATCCGTAGTCAAGCAAAGATCCGTATATTTATGCAATGGAGTGAATGAGTAAGTGAGTGAGTAAGTGGGTGTGTGGGTAAAAAGTTTGTCGGACGATGTTTTAAATTTTTTGGAGTGTCCCTTGTTGAAGAGGTTAACTCGAATGCAAATACTGTATTACCCCGCACTTAGAAACATTGTAAGAGTATATGTTGCTTGCTTATATAAAGAGTGAGTGAGTGAGTTTAGTTTTACACCGCTTTTAGCAATATTCCAGCACGGCGGGCTTCACCCATTGTGCCCATGTGGGGAATCGAACCCGGGTCTTCGGCGTGACGAGCCAACGCTTTAACCACTTGGCTACCCCACCGCCCCTATATGGAGAGTAATAGCGCCAGCAGCGTATGGCTGGCAGAACTATCTGATTACCAGAGCATGACCTTTGATTAAATATTGAAACTCATCAATCATTCCTGAAAACTTTAATTGAACTCTTCAAATGTGTATATATTCACACTGAGGTGCAATTTGCCCCTAAGGCAATTCTTCCGGATCCGAAGTCGGAGGGGCTTACGTTGCACTGGCACACAGTCGCCTTGTCAGGGTGATACACGTTGCCCATCTTGATGATGACGTCACCGTACTTGCAGTTCCAGCCTAGCAGAGAAAACATGGTGAGCACGTGAAGCAGCTTCGTGAACGAACCACCTCGCTAGTAACACGACATCTGATCACAGCTGTTTAACTGAACAGTATTGTGAGGAAGATAAATAGAAAGTTTTGGTCTCGCGTATGTTTTCACCAATATTCCGTAGCGCCAGGGTGACTTCGTATATTTCTATCCCTAACTATATACGACCGATGGAGAGGAAAGATTCACCCACTGGAGGGGCCAGATAAATGTCACGGAGGGGCAAGATTAATCTTATAAAGGGCAAGATTCATGATATAGAAGGGCAAGAGTCATCTACAGGAGCTGATGCGATCAATAAATGGGC